ATCCTGCTCCAATCCCGCTGTTTCCTTAGGAAATAAAGGGAGGCCAAGACATTTTTCACTGTGCCCCACCTTTATTCCACCCCTTCCAGTCTAACCCTGTTTTGGAAACACTTCCAGCATCTAAATTCTGCTCAGAGCCCGTTGTTTTCTCAAGGAAAAATCCACAAAGTGGAAGAACTGGAGCAGAAGCAGCTCATCCAAGGTTTCTGTGCCCTCTGCTGGCTGAGCTGGATTTGGGATCGTGGCCAAGTCGAGGTGTTCTCCACCAGGAGTGCCCAGCAAGGAGCCAAAGTGGTCAAACACTGCGTGGCCACGGCCACCACTGCCTGGACACCACCAGGGAGGGACACAACACTCCCTGGGCTTTGCCCAGCTGGGATTCAGTGCCCTCATTTACTTGGAACACTGGAAAAAGCCTTAAATCTCCTTTGCTTTCTTCCCATGGCACTAAAGACCATGATCCCACTTTTCCCCATGAGTGAACTCCACCCCATGGACTCTGGTCCCTGTGGACCCTCCCAGCTCCTGCCAGGCTTCCAACAGCCTTCCCTGGACACACATGAGGAATGTGGCACAGGCAATATTGGAATGTTGGCTCTGCCAGCAGCAATCCTTCCCTGGAATAGGATTAATGCTTAACAACCATCTGTCCTTCTCCTCTCACCACCCAACGACACACAGATTCCTTTAGTTCACCCCGGTCTTTTTTTTGGGAAAGGTGGAAAAAAAAAAAACGGATTTTTGGTGCTGTGCCACATCTCTGCTTTCCCTGATCTTTCCACCACCATTCCAACCTTCAGCTTGGAGCTGGGGTTCAGCATGATGTACTTCAGGGTGTTCTGGATGTTCTCTGTCCATGAGGCCAACCAGGTCACCGTGTTGTCAAAGCGAACCTCCTTCCACTTGTGACCTTCTGGGGGCTCGGGAATCTTGGAATCCCTGTGGGAAGAGCAGGATTAAAGCCCTGAGACCATGAAGGAGATGGGGCTTCAGCTCGACTTCAGTGAGCCAAGGACGGTCACAGAGTCCACAACGTGGAATTGTTAAGGTTGGAAAAGTCCTTCAAGATCAGGAAGTTCAACCATTAAACCAGCACTTCCAGGTCCACCAATAAACCGTGTCCCCAAGTGCCACATCTACAAATCCCTTCAGGGCTGGGGACTCCACCACCGCCCTGAGCAGCCTTTCCTAGTGCCTGACAACCCTTTCTGGGAAGAGGTTTTCCCTCACATCCAACCTAAACCTCTCTCCTGGGACAACTTAAGTGATAGGACAAGAGGAAATGGCCTCATCTGGGAGAAGAGACCAACCCCCACCTGTCCACCCCTTTCTTTCAGGGAGCTGTAAAGAGAAATAAGGTCCATCCTGAGCCTCCTTTTCTCCAAGCTGAGCCCCCCCCAAGCTCCCTCAGCCACTCCTGGTGCTCCAGACCCTTCCCACCATCAGGTCTTTTATCATTTGGATGCTGAAGACAAAGGAGAACTTTCTGGAGGGGAATGTTTTGAATCAAAGTCTTCAAATGGGTGGTTTAAGACCAACCCAACTCATCTAATTTAGCACTTAGAGAAGACTCTTAACCCAATCACTGCCTTCCTCCCTCCTCCAGGGACGATCCTGGTGCTTCCAGGCAGCGTGAGGGGTCCAAAAAATTAGGAGGAGCACAGAGTTGTCCCTTCTTCCAAGAGGCAGCAAGAGAACCACGGGTTGTTTATGGTTGATTTTGGATGAACCAGTGGGAGATGGAGCTGCTTGAGCAGCTTCCTGGCCACTGGAGATCCACAGAGGAATTCTGGAGGTGACCAAAGAGCTCCAGCAAGTCCTCAGGGCATGGAAAGCAGGGATTGCAGGAGATGGTGAAATCCCAGGATCCTGCTCCTCCCGGTCCCAAAACCAGCTCCAGGAGCTCATGGCAACTCACCTGCTGCAGTTGATGATCACATCTTCTGGCATGATCCTCTTCTTCAGCATCCCCATTTTGGGGTGGTCGCCACGGCCACGGAACAGCCCCGGCGGCTCCGTTTTGAAGTTGCCGATCTTCTCGCGGTGCCCATCCAGGATGCAGTAGCCATATTCCTCCTGGATCTTGTCTGCCTCCTCCTTCAGCTTCTGAAAGAAGCACCAGGACACCAAAAAAAAAAAAAAATCATGGAATGGTTTGAGTTGGAAAAGACCTCCAAATTTATCTCATTCTTATTCCACCTCCCTGCCCTGGGCAAGGACACCTTCCACTAGCCCAGGTTGCTCCAGGCCCCATCCAACCTGGCCTTGGAGACTTCCAGGGATGGGGCAGCCACAGCTTCTCTGGGCAACCTGTGCCAGTGTCCCACCACCCTCCCAGTATGGAATTTCTTCCCAACATCTAATCTAAACCTACTCTCATCCCACAGGATGAGTTTTAACCCCCATGGTTCGTGTTTACTCAACACCACCCCCCTTTCCCTGGAGAAAAGGAAGGCTGGGAAGGCAGAGCTCAGAGGGTGGGAGAAGGAGGTAAATCCATTCCCAAAAGGTGGCTCATCTCCATCCACTCTGCAAACCTTCCCAGTGATGCTGATGGAACAACCCCAAGGGCCACCAGTCCCTCAGCAAGGTCCACCATCCTCTGGATAGAGCAGGACCCAAAACCATGGTCCAAGGATGGTTGGCAGGTTGGAAAACCATGGAAAGGGCAGGACCTGCTGATAAAATTCACGAAGAGGAGAGGATGATGGTCATGGAGACAGAGCTGCTCCAAAGAGGTCCCAGGGCATTCCAGCAGGAAAAAATGACAAGCAGGAGCCCAAACACCCCAAAGCTGGACCCCAAAACACCGTTATCCAGTCCCAGATGTCCCAGGGATGAGTCCTGACCTGCTTCTCCTCCTTGGGGAGCGCTTTCCGTGCCTCGCTTTTGTCCACAAAGTACTTGTGGATCTCACTGAAGTCACACTTGGCCAGCTCCTGGATTATCTCCTGCTCCTCTGAGGTCATCTCCTGGGGAAAAGGTGGGATGGGCTGGATAAAGCTGGGAGACCAAACTAACCTCACACAGTTTGTGCCTCTCCTTCCCAGAAAAGGGAACAGAGACCCATATTCCACCTCTTTGGAAAAAAATCAGGAGGCACAGCCACATCCAGCTTCCACAGAGGGAGGTCTGGATGACCTTTAGATTCAACCAACACCCAGAGAAACAAAATGCAGCCAAAGCTGGGGTGGAACAACCTCTGACATAGAAAAAAATCCCCAAAAAACCACTGCAGGAACTTCAGGGACTGCAGAAGGTGCACAAAAGGTATTTGGGGGGGTGTAAATGCACCCTAGCAGGGCTTTTGGTTTTATTTAGGACCATGAGGTTGTTCCTTCAAGCCCCAAAATATTTGGGAAGCTGTTTGGAAGATCCAGCACCTCCTCCCATCACCAAAACTCGGGGGGAGCACAAGTGAAGCCCTCAAAGATGCTGCAGGCAGCAAATCCCAGCCCAAATCCCCCCCAAACCAAGGAAACAAATCAGAATTCGGGATTTCATAGTTATAAATAAGCCATAAAAGCCTCTCATTCCCTCCCATCCCACACCACGGCCTGATGATGGATATCAAGGAAGCCTTCCCAGGGATGTACCTTCCTCCAGTCATGGAAGAAGTTGTTCTGGAAGATCTCCTTGGTCGTGTATTCGTGGTCGAGCATTTTGGCATAAAATGTGGCGATTTCCTCCGTGGCCAAGCTCAGCTTCAGGGGTTTTCCTGGGAAAAGAGAGGACCTTCAGCATCAGTTAAGGGAACAGCCCAATCCCAGAGTCCTTTGGAGACTCCTCACATTCCACGCTCCACCAAACAGGGACAAAGGGTGAGAAGAGTCACTGGCAGGAGCTCAGTTGGAGCTCCTGGACCTCCTGCTCCAGGATCAACGTCCACAGCTCTTGGCACAGTGGGATGTTCCTGAATCCCACCAATTCCAGGAGGCAGGATCCTCCTTGGAGAGGTTTCACCTCATCCACGCAGATAGAACAACCATGGGATGCTCCAAGCTGAAGTTTGTAAAAGACATAAGAGGCAAGAGCCTCTCCTGGTTGTCCAATGGATCCAAGAATCATGGAATAGTTTGGGTTGCAAGGGATTTTCAGTTCCAAAACCCCTGCCATGGGCAGGGACACCTTCCACTAGCCCAGGTTGCTCCAAGTCCTGTCCAACCGGGCCTTGGAGACTTCCAGGGATGGGACAGGCACAGCTTCTCCGGGCCTGGGATCGGTTCCCGGGGCTTCTCCGGGCCTGGGATCGGTTCCCGGGGCTTCTCCGGGCCTGGGATCGGTTCCCGGGGCTTCTCCGGGCCTGGGATCGGTTCCCGGGGCTTCTCCGGGCCTGGGATCGGTTCCCGGGGCTTCTCCGGGCCTGGGATCGGTTCCCGGGGCTTCTCCGGGCCTGGGATCGGTTCCCGGGGCTTCTCCGGGCCTGGGATCGGTTCCCGGGGCTTCTCCGGGCCTGGGATCGGTTCCCGGGGCTTCTCCGGGCCTGGGATCGGTTCCCGGGGCTTCTCCGGGCCTGGGAGCCAAAGCCACCACCCTCTGCTGAGCTCTTCACCCAGAGAAACACACTGAAACCAAGGAAGAACATCTTGGCTCATCCTAAGAATTCCTTGGAAACAGCTTTCCGAGGCAAGCTGGAGGAAAAGCAACCTGCAGAGCTCCAGGGGATGGTCCAATCCCACCTGGACCACCGGGGTTTGGGGTTCCTGGACTGCAGGCCATGGGGGGGTCACAGCCTCAGAGCAGCCCCACGACAACCTACAGGCACCACGTGGTCCCTTCCGTGGTCTCCTCCTCCTTGGGGTTGTTGTCTGTCCACAAACACTTTTCCATCCAGGAATGGTGATAATTTTTAAGGAAACGAGCCAAGATCGAAGATTCCAGGTCAAAGCCACCGGCCCCGATCCACACAGCACACAGGTGGATCTCCAACAACTTCAGAGGTCACAGAGAAGGTTCAAACCCTGCCAGGGATCCTCCTGAGTCTCTGACAGCCCCATGGATGTCCCAGCAGTGCCCTCTGGTGTCTCCAGACACCTCCTTCCCCAAAATTGGCCTTTTTCCTACTGGAAAAAAGGCACAGGAAGGCCCAGGGATGGAGCTGAGGAGCACCAAGACCCCCAGGGAACGCGGTCCCCTCCCATCTCCAGCACCCCTTTGGCCAAGCCCCAAGTTGCCCCTCCTTGCCTGGATCCACCAGAAACGAGTTCAGGGATGAAGCTGAGAGCAGGGAGAAGACAATCCAGCAGAAATGGGAGGAAAACAAGGACAGCAGAGCTCTGGATCTGTCCTGGATCAGCCCCTCGGCAACGCCGGAGTTGCTGGGAGTGATCCTTGGTGACCTTGGGGACACCAGGAGCCACGAGCAGGAGCTCAGAGCACCTCAACCAAAGCCTTCCAGATTACACGGGGCGAGTCACTGAGGCCACGGGACAGGAAAATCCTGGTTTTCCAGCCGGGATGAGCTTCAACTCATCCTTATAACTCAACCCCCAAAACGCACCTTAACGAGGAAAAAAACGGTTCCTCAGAGAAAAAAACGACCACCAGGATCAACTCGTGAATAACCCCAGAACTCCTTCCACCTCCAGCTCCAAGCGATGCCTGCAGGCTTTATCCCATGGGATATTCCTATTCCATACAGCAGAAGACACCAGCTGTTTTTCCAGGGAAGAGACAACCCCAGGTGCCATCCCGAGGCGGACGTACCGGCGTAATAAAAGCGAACGTCTTCGGGAAGGGGCTCGTAAAGGGGGGCAAAGTAGGGGCCCCTGTGCTCCAACTGCGTCCACTTGACTCCATCTTCCTTCTTTTCCTCTTCCCACCTGGGAGAAGACACAAAGGGGGGACCAGTGAGAACATCCTAAACCCCCGGGGTGAAGTTCCAGACCCCAAGTTGGCCCAAACTCCAGGTGAAATCCCGTTTTCTCCGCTCCCGCCTCGGTTTTCCCGTTGTTTGAGACGAGGGAAGCCGCAAAGGAACCCAGGGAAAGGTGTTTTGAGGAAGGGGGTGGTGATATTGGAGGGATTCAGGAGAGCGAAGGGACCTCAAAGATCATCTCATTCCATGGGAAGAGACACCTTCCACTATCCCAGGTCGCTCCAAGCCCCATCCAATCCCTCCTGAAGAATTCCAGGGATGAGGCAGCCACTGCTTCCTCTGGAAAACCCAGAGCTGTTCCTCAGGATCATTCAGAACTTTGAGTTTGATGCAAAGAAGATTTGAACACATCTCCCCCCTCAGCCAGAAGAAACAGGATTTTCAAGTCCCGTTTTCCAAGTCTTGGCTGGAGATTCAAAATCAATTAATCAATTAATTAATTAATCAAATATAAAAGTTAAAAAGTGTCAGAACAACCTGAAAAAAAAAAAATCCAGAAATAATGAAAAAAGGGGGAAAAAAAAAAAAGGTCAGGGATAAAAGAAGAGGTACAGCACAGGATGGGGCACTGGCCCTTTAATTCCAGCATCTCCAAGGGAAAAAAAAGCCAAGGATTGCTGGGAAAACACGGCTGAGAGAGAGAAATTCCCCTTTCTTGCTCAGGAGGCGGCCCCAGAAGCATTTGGGATTTTTCTCCTTCCCCCTGGAAACGTGCAGGAACGGATGGGTTGTAGGAAAAGGTGGATTTTGTCAGAAAAACACGGGGGGAAAAAAAGGATATTAAGGAAAAAATCAATGAGTTATAGGAATTTTGGATGGGAAATAAATGGGGAATAAATCCAGTGTGGCAAAAGGTGGATTCTCCCACAAAAATACAGGGAAAATACAAGATATTAAGGAAAAAAAAAATCAATGAGCTACAGGAATTTTAAATGGGAAATGTGCAGGGATAAATCCAGTGTGGCAAAAGGTGGATTTTCCCAGAAAAAAACACAAGGAAAATAAAAATACTAAGGAAATAACAACAGGCTACAGGAATTTTGGATGGGAAATATGGAGGAATAAATCCAGTGTGGCAAAAGGTGCATTTTGGAAGAAAAACAGAGGGAAAATAAAAATATTAAGGAAAAATCAACAAGCTACAGGAATTTGGGATGGGAAACACGGAGGAATAAATCCAAATGCAAAGAAATCCAATTCCAAAAGATGCATTTTCCAAGAAAAACACGGGGGGGGGGGAGATTTTTAATATATTTTACTTTTATTTTTCTATATTATTATTTATTTTTATTTTCTATATTTTATATAGATTGTTTATATATTTTTCTATATTTTTATAATACATAATATTTTAATATAATGTGTTATAATTATATGTATACAAATATAATTATATACTACATACAAATATTCTATTTTATATAGTATTATATATTACTTATATTGTATAAATATCAAATAATATAAATATTAAATATCTTATATAATAGTTTACATTAATGTTTAATAACATTATCTACTGTATACAAATATAAATATAATTATATTTACATTTTTATTTTTTATATAGTTATCTTTATTTTTATTTATTATATATTTCTAGTTTTATATTTGTATCTTTCTATCTATTTATTATTATATAATTAATATTTAATATTTATCTTTATGTTTATTATTTATTTTATATTTATTTTTATTTACTTATTATATTTATATCAAATAATACACATTAAATATGCATTAAATATTAATATAAAATATTATACAGAACATATATATTATATACAAATATAAATATAATTATGTTTCTATTTCTATTTATTTTTATGTTTTTATTATATATTCTATTTAAAATGTGTCTTTATATTTATTTTTATTTATTTAGTATATATTTATTATTTAGTTATTTTATATTTGTATCTTCATAATATATCTTTAATTATTAAATATTATTTATTTTATATCTGTATATTCATTTTTATTTATTATATATTTATTATTTATTTTATATTTTGTATTTATATTTATTATTTGGTTATTTTTATTTGTATATTTATGTTTATTTTTATTTTTTATGTTATATTTTTTATTTCTATTTTTATATATAATACATATATTATATTTATATTTTATTATATAATTTGGGCAAATTATCTCCTTGCACCAACTCCAAGCATCTCCCTTCCCTGGTTGGACACCAGAAAAGGCATTTCTGGAGAAATAACTAAAACCAACTATTAAATAAATACCTTAAATACTAAATTATAAAGAAATATCTCCAATTCTGCAGACACTGCTGGGTTTTCTCTCTCAGCCCCTTCGTCCTGCCAAGAGTGACAAGTTCAGGGCTTCAGAAAATCCAGCAAAACAGGTAAAAAATGGCAACAAAATCCAATTTTCACACTTTTGCCCCAAGAAATAAAACCAAAAATTTAATTTTCAGTTTTACCTTAAGAAATAAAACTCAAATTCAATTTTCCACACTTTTGGCCTTAGAAAGAAAACCAAAAATTCAGTTTTCAGTTTTACCCCAAGAAATAAAACTCAAAATTCAATTTTCACACTTTTGTCCTAAAAAATAAAACTCAAAATTCCATTTCCACACTTTTACCCAAAGAAATAAAACTACAATTGAATTTCCACACTTTTGTCCTTAGAAATAAAACCAAAAATTCCATTTTCAGTTTTACCCCAAGAAATAAAACTCAAATTCAATTTTCACACTTTTGCCCAAAGAAATAAAACTAAAAATTCAATTTTCAACCTTTACCCAAAGAAATAAAGTTCAAAATTCAATTTTCAGTTTTACCCAAAGAAATAAAACTAAAAATTCAATTTTCAACCTTTACCCAAAGAAATAAAACCAAAAATTCAATTCTCAATTTTACCCAAAGAAATAAAACCAAAAATTCAATTTTCACGCTTTTGCCCTAAAAAATAAAACTCAAAATTCCATTTTCACCCCTTTTACCCAAAGAACTCAAACCAAAACCCCCCCAAAGCATCCGGGTCGGATCTTCCCGGGGGGCCAAAAGCACACGGAATATTTACCATTTCCACTTGTTTTCCACCTCTTTTTCGTCCTCTTTCCGCGCCTTTTTGTTGTCCTTTTCTCCTCCTCCTTCCTTGGATTTCCTTTTCCTGCTTTTCCCTGGAGTCTCCTCCTCTTCCCTCTTCTTCTCCTCCTTCTCTTGCTCTTCCCCCTCCAGCTTTTTCTTCTTGCTTTTCCTCTTTTTCTCTTTCCCTGGTCCATCTCCCTTCCCTTCCTCCTCCTCCTTTTCCTGCTCCATCCCCGTGCTCCGTGTCTCTCCCAACTTTTCCTCCTCCTTTACTCCTTTTCCATCCCCACTTCCCTTTCCCACCTCACCTTTTCCCCCCATTTCACCTCCTGCTCCTTCCTCTCTTTCCTCCTCCACCTTTTCCTCCTCCTTTACTCCTTTTCCATCCCCACTTCCCTTTCCCACCTCATCTTTTCCCTCTGTTTCACCTCCCACTCCTTCCTCTCTTTCCTCCTCCTCCTCCATCTTTTCCACCTCTTGCTCCTTTTCCTCTTCCAACACTTTTTCCTTCTTTATTCCCTTTTTCCCCACCTTTTCCACCCCCTCAACTTTCCCCTTCTTGTGTTTCTTCGCTTTTCCCGTCTCCTGGTTTTCTCTCCCATCCCCCTGTCCCTGAAATCCGTTGCTTTTCCCTCTTTCGGCTCTTCCCTGTTCCCCTTCCCAATTCCTGCCCCCATCACCCTCCTCCTCCTCCTCAATTCCCTCCATCCCATTCCCAAATTTATCCTTCTTCCTCCCTCTTTTCCTCTTCAATCCCTTTTCCTGCTCTTTCTTTTCTTCTTGTTTCTTCTCTCGTCCTTTTTTGCTTTTCAGGACTTGGGAATCCCATTCCTTTTGTGGGACAGGGGGATCCAGCTCCTTCTCCTCATCCATCTCCAAATTCCCAGGATCTCCAGAGGGGGAGGAAATCCCACCAGCGACATCATCACTCGGCTTTGGGATCTGTGGGAAGCAGCCAGAAAGGAAGGAATGTTGAGGTTGGGAAAAGAGAGAGGTTATCCCAAAGCCCAGGAGTGGCTGAGGGACGTATTCCATGCAGGATCAGGTCCAGGGAATGTCATTCCTCCCAGATTTCCTACCCCAATTCCATTCTGGCTCTCCAAGAGCTGCTGTCCCACCGCAGGTCCTGCTTCCCGGGGTTTAGCCTGGGACCTACAACGAAATTCCAGCCACTTCTCACCACCTTGGGGAGCACCAGCTCCACCTCTTCCATCCAAAATTAGGGAATTGCTCCCAAACAAGTCCTTGTTTCTCCTCCAGGGAAGCTCCACAGGTGTTGTGGCACACGGAGATATCCCAAAGCAGCAGCGGATTTTATCCACCTTTTATCCCACATGGATTTGATGGGATGAGGAAGCTCAAGAAAAGCAGGACCACGAGGTCTCCAGACCAAATGGGCGACATTCCAAGGGAATATTCCCAGAGAAACCTCAGGGGGAAAGTTTACAAGGTTTGGGAGCACCAACAGCACACGGGACAGGCGGGATCAGGTTGGATATCATGGATACAGCGGAGGAGGAGATGGGATTGCTGGGATTGTGGGGACGAGCTCCTCCATCCCAAGGCAGCCTGAGGATGGAAAGGGCCAGGGAAGGCCAGGGAAGGCCAGGGAAGGCCAGGGAAGGCCAGGGAAGGCCAGGGAAGGCCACAACTTCACAACAATCTGCAGGACAAGGAGTGTCCAAATCCACAATTCCTTCCATCCACAATATGGGTGGGGAACATGGGAATGTTTCCCTGCTCAGCACAGAGATCACTGGGATTTCTGGGATTTCTGTGGGACTTGGGAAAGATTACAAAGCACAACCTGGTCCCTATAAAATAACTCCTCCCAAGGTTTCTCCGAGCCAGGCAGGGAATTGGGACATCATCTTGGAGCTGCTCCTGTTCCCCAAAAAAAAAAAAATCCAAGCAAAATAGGAAGGAAGGAGTAGCAAGCCCAGCCTAAACCAAGCCTACTTCTCCACAGGGTGGATTTAAGATGGATATCGGGAAAATTCCTCACTGGAAGGGTGGGCAAGCATTGGAATGGGTTGCCCAGGGAAGTGCTGGAATCACCATCCCTCCTGGAAGTGTCCAGGAAACATAAACGTGGCACTTGGGGACGTGGGATAGTGGTTGGACTTTATGATCTTGGATGTCTTTTCCAACTTTAATGATTCCATGAGGGTTGAGGTGATGGTGTCCCCTGGCCCCACATGGAAATCTGGGGTCTTTTCCAAACTCTGTGATTCCAGGCTGGAGGTGACTGTGCCTCCATGTCCACATGGAAAGTTGTTTCTGTCCCTTTGGGGTCATTGTCACTTCCCAAGAAAGTTCTCCCAGCTGGATAAGGCTGGAGCTGAGCTCAGCCCATGGATCAGCCCCATTCCCTGCCTTTCCCAGCTCCTGGCACCCCTCAGCAGGACCATTTTGGAAGCACAGCCCTGATCCTACCCAGGAAAGAGCTGGAAAACCACATTCCTGCTCCCAAGGAAGAGGCTCAACAGAAGGGATGGGATGGTTCTCCTGGAATTCCAGGGGAGCCCAAACAGAAGAGCCACAAATTCCTGCTTTTATCCAAAACATCCCACACAGTTTCTACAAGAGACAGTGGAGGGTTTGGCCCTTTTCTCCAAATTAATTTAGGCTGATCCTTAATTACCTTAATGTGGGACAAAATAGGGCACAGGAATTTTTGGGATGGAAACAAAGCTCCCAAGGAAAAAAAAAACCACCAAACCAGGAGCCAGATGCTTTTTCCAGCTGGAAGGCACGTCAGACCATCCCCACTAAACTCATTAGGGAAAAATATCCCAGGAAAACAAGCTCAGCCCTTCCAATCTCATTAACAGATCCATGACTCAGGAGGCAAAGTCCTTCCTGCCACCTTTTGGCATCGGCTCTTTATTCCAAAGGTCTCATTAGAGGCCTCTCAGTGGGCATTTTGAAGAGGCAAGAGAGGATTAACCTGCTTAGGCCCAGCTTTAGTCTGAGTTCAGCTTCTTATCTCTGCCCAGATCTAACCCAGGGAGAGGGAAGGAACAGCCTTTTCCCAGGATTTGGGAGGCTGGTTGTTCCCACCTCTCTGTTCCTGGAGGTGTTTGCAGCTGAGCAATCCCACCCTGCTGACTCAGGGAGCTTGGATGGGGCAGGACCTTCCCTCTCCACCCTCAAATCCCAGGATTGGGCCTTAAATCCCCCTCGGGATGTTTTTGGAAAGGTGTCACCGGTGAAGCTGCTCAGTGGAGGCACCAACTGCTGGTTTGGGTGACCCAGGGCTGTGCAACCCCACAAAAAAAAAAGAAGAAAAAGGACAAAGTTCCCAATTCTCCGGGTAAAAATCATCCCAAAAGTGACTCAACTCACCCTGAAGAGTCTTGAAGCTCCACAGATGGCCCTTGGGGGAGGGTTCCTTTGGTCTCCTCCTGGAATATATTGGGAAAGGTGACCTGGAACAGGTATCCCAAGAGCAGCATCGCTCCCAAAAATCACCCAGCCCCTCACCCTGCCACCGTTTCCCCCTTCCTTGGCCTCCTTGGCTGGAAACCAGGAGCCCAAACCAGCCAAGATTTCCCAAGCTTTGAGGTTTTTCTGGGGTTAGGAAATCCCTGCCTTCCTTCCAACACCACCATTGAAGTATTTTATGGAGCAAAAACCCGAAAACTCTACCCCTCCTCAACCACCTGCCCGTTGGATGCACTGCTGGGATAGAATTCCAGGACTAACAGGAATGGGATGGCTCCAAAATAAAGATGCATCAAGTGCCAGCTTGGCCCTTAGGAGGGGAAATCACCTTTGTAGCAGATGGCAAGAGGGAAAAAGGGATGGGGACAAAGCCACAGGGTGGGAAACACAAGAAAGGAACAAAATAAAGGGAAAATTGGGACAGAACTTGGAAGCAAACGAGCTCAGAGGGGACACAAACTCTAAAATCTGCCCCTTGGAAGCCACCAGGAATCTTATTTTAATATCTGCACACTTGTTCTCAAAGCTGAAACCAGATTTTTTTCCTGCTCCTGACCACACCAGACATCCTGAAACCCATCCCAAGCTCCTCCAACCCTCTCCAAGCATCCAGGCTCTCCTTCGAAATTCCGCCTTCCCGAGTTTCTCTTTCAAAGGAAACCAAAACCACAGAGGGATTTTTCTTGAAAGCAGCTGCTGGGTGAACTCATTAAAGGGGGAATCAAAATCTCAGTTAATTAGAGGTTGGTTAGGACAACGTAAACTTTCGTTCCCTGGGAATATTCCTGCTCTGGGATTCACAATCCTACAGCTGCTGGCAGGAATCACGGTGGGAGATTCAGGAACGCGCAGCCACGACCTTCCAAAGGAAATCCTGCCTGTGGATTCCTGATGTTTGCACCAGGAACAGCAGGACACGGATCACAGGCCCCCCCTGGGGGGTTTTTTCCAGGTTGTGGTTCCAGTTTTATCCCGCCAGGAAAGAGTTTGCTGACATTTTAGATGCTTTTCGGAAAAAAAGCCTCTCTGCTGGTTTTCCACAAGAGGACAAATGGGAATTGTTAATGTGGGCAAAGCAAAACGTTGTAGGAATTAGCCAGGATCAGCCAAAAATCATGGAATGGTTTGGGTTGGAAGGAACCTTAAAGATTATCCAGATCCAACCTCCTGCCATGGGCAGGGACACTTCCCAGTATCCCAGGTTGCTCCAAGCTCTGTCCAACCTGGCCTTGGACACTTCCAGGGATGGGGCAGGAAGCCCAAATCCCTCAGGAAAGATGCTGCAGGATGAGACCAATCCCAACATTATGCTTGGGAAGTGACAGAGTCCCCCGTGTCCCGGTGCTCCCAAGAAAACGCCAAAACGTGACTGATCCAACCCCCACGGCCACACAGGGAATTTACTCCTTATTTTAATTCCAAATGCTCCAAAAACAAGGGCTTTCCCACATCCGCAGGCTGTAGGACACCACCATCACAGATCCCTTGGGAACAAACCACGGGAGTGCTCCCAAATCCTTCAGCTCCGAGACCACGACGTACCGAGCCCGGGGCAGCTCCTTCCTCAGCTTGGATCCCATTCCACAGGCTCGAGCCAAGACCTTTCCCTCCTGCAGCCTCCTGCTTGAGGGAGCTTCTTGGACACGGAGGAGACAGAAGGAAAACACGATTTTTAGGATCATGGAATGGTTTGGGTTGGAAGGAACCTTAAGATCATCTCATTCCATGGGCAGGGACACCTCCCACTGGCCCGGGTTGCTCCAACCTGGCCTTGGACTCTTCCAGGGCTGGGGCAGCCACAGCTTCTCTGGGAATTCCATCCCAGCCTGCCCCCGCCCCCCAGGGAAGAATTCCTTCCCAAAATCCAACTTAAACCCTCCCTCCTTCATCTTAAGCCCATCTCCCCTTGTCCTGTCACTCCATGCTTTTATTTCTCCCATTCTGATGATCCAGGCAGCACAAGGGAAGCAGAGCTGGACGTGGCATTCCCATGGGATGACCCCAGACGGAGGGAGCAGAGCCCTGAAGATCCCATCTCCTCCCAGGGGGGAGTTCCAAGGACTCACCTGCTGATGACGTTCTCCTGCAGCGGCTTCTCCTCGACCTCTGGTGGTTTCTTCTTCTTCTTCCCTTTTCCCCCTTTTCCTACAGGGAACTTTGCACCAGGATGGAGCAGTGTGAGGGAGAAGGAAGTTCATGCCACAGGGTTGTTTTGTTTTTTTTTTTCCCCATCCATAAAACTTTTGGGACAGTCAGCAAGGTCACCCCAGCAGGGAGAAAGAGGTACCTGCACTGAACGTTCCGGCTCCTTCTTCCCAATCTTTGTCCTGAGCTCCTTTGGCACCTCCTGCCCTTTCTCCAACTCCTTCTTTCGCTTCCTGAGGACAAGGAAAAACTGATCCCACTGAAGCCAAGCAGGGAATACCCACAGCAAACCCCTTAGTGGGGAAAATAATCCATGGTGTGATCCCCCACTGCCCAACCCTGATTTCCAGAAGCACCAAAAAAAGGGCTCCCAAAAGGAAATTTAGAGGGATTTTTCTGCTTGATCCCTTAAGGCCTGAAATTCCCAGGAAATCCAGAGTGATCATGTAATGCTGGAGCCCCCCAAAATCCCCTGCCACACCCCACAGGACCCACCTGCTGCTCTTTTTCATCCCACTATCCCTTGAGACTCCCATGGCTCCCTCATCCAGCAGTTCTTGGGAATGTTAAGGCAGAGTCCTCAAGGATGTCACTGCAACAACAGGGAGAAACCCCAGGGCTGGTAGAATCCCAAATTTTCTACCAGAGAAAACCAAGAGCTCAACCCCAAAAGGTCAAGCTCAGCTTTAACAAGCTCAGCTTTGGTCTCTTTGGACCCAAAGAGACCAAGAAACAGCAAATCCTTGAGTTCAGCCCCTGAGCTGCTCTGGGAGGTGGGAAAAATAAAATTCCTGCTAAAAAAAAAAAAAAATAAAAAGCAAGGGAAATCCCCCCAAATCATGAATTTCGGGAGGAATTCCCAGCTCCCACCACACTGGAAAATAATTCAGCAGAGCAGAGAGACCCCTCAGCTCTCACCTCCCTTTCCTCGTGGCTGCAACATCCAGACCCTCCCAAATCCCTGCTCCCCATGGAAACCCAGAGGATGGAGGAAATAAGGCTCATATGAAACATCCAGCAGGTCCCAATCCATGGAAAACCTCCCCAGTTGAGGAAAAAAATGGGATTTCTCAACGAAAAAAAGAGCCAAAGCACCGGGAAACATCAGCTGAACTTTTCGAGGAATAGAAAACACTTGGAAAACTTCCATGTTTTCCCAGACTTTGTTGTACCAGGAGCACCCAGAGCTGCTGGTGGGACCAAGTTCTTCCCCCAAACCCACCCAGAGAAGAGGAGACTTCACCCAGTCGCCTTCCCGAGGGAAATTCCCTCCTCCAGGAAGTTTACTTAAAGCCCCCCCACCCCCGAGCCTGATGGGAGGTTCCCAGCCCAAAATGCACCCTGGGAAAGGAAGTTTTAGCCCCAAATTTGGGGAGAGCCCCTTAAGCAACAGCGAGGAGACCCCGAGGGGGGGAATGCTTTGCACTCCTTAGGTGGAGGATAGGGCCAAATATATGGATTTAAAAACAATTTAGGAAAACCCACCTTGCAGGAAGTCCCCCCTCTTCAATCACAGAATTAAATTATTCCCAAATCCAGCTGCTTTTCATCCATCAGGTTGGATTTAGGGGGGTCTCAGAGCCCAAACGGTGGGTGCAGAGCCCAGATCCCATAGGACAGTGATTCGTGGTGCCTCCAACCCTCATCCTGAAGCCCTTCCCAGGGCTCCTCTCCAGCCCTATTCATGGGATGAGTCCATTGCTTCCACCTGGCCGTGGGGGTCATCAGGAACCTCGTTGCAGCTGAGCATGGAATGGCCTCATCCATCCTCAGCCAGGTCGAAGGAGAACACCTGGGAAGGGGATGGAGCAGAGGGACAACAGGGGTTGGGGCACAGGGACAACAGGGGTATGCACAGCAAAGCTTTTCCCAAACTGGGAATGTTCAGCCTGGAGAAGAGAAGGATCCAGGGAGACCTGAGAGCCTCTTCCAGGGCCTAAAGGGGCTCCAGGAGAGCTGGAGAGGGACTTGGGACAGGGGGTGGAGGGACAGGACACAGGGAATGGCTTTAAACTGACAGAGGGGAGGGTTAGGTGGGATCTTGGGAAGGAATTCTTGGCTGGGAGGGTGGTGAGGGCTGGAATGGAATTCCCAGAGAAGCTGTGGCTGCCCCAGCCCTGGAAGTGTCCAAGGCCGGGTTGGATGGGGCTTGGAGCAACCTGGGCTAGTGAAAGGTGGCACTAGCAGGGGATTGGAATGAGATGATCTTGAAGGTCCCTTCCAACCCAAACCATTCCATGATTCCTGGAAGGATCTGCTCATGCTTTGCACTGGGGTGTGAAAAGCAGGCTTGGAGTCTCCATCCTCTTCAGCTTCCCAGCCTTGTGCCTTCCCAAACGGGGTTTATTTTATCCAGGGGTCTTTCAGAGGCTCATTCCATCCATCCCAACCTCTCCTGGCACAATGGGAATCATCTCCGCTCAGGCTGAGCTTTGGTGGCCCTGGATTGGGAGCAACCTCATTCCCTGGGGCATTCCATAAAAACCTCTGCGAGACAGAGGGATCTTCACAGCCCATTTCAACCCAAACCATCCTATAATTCCAGGAAAAAGCTGGATCTGGGGTCAGTAAGAGTCATTGCTCCCTGCTGAGATCCCCATTTGGGATGAGTAGCGGGGCCATGAGTTCCCTTGGGAAGGAGCCGGGAGCAGAAAGTCCCGGAGGCAGGGCTGGCTCTGGGAAAGCCTCTTTGATCCCTGTTGCACCACCCCAGGAAAAATGCATCCAAGCCACCTTTCCTGCTGGATGAGAAAGGTTGGGAAGGGATGGGAGAGGGAGCAGGGAAAGACGACTTCGTGCCGGGGCTTGTTCGCCCTCGGCCGCCTCCTTCCAACCCAGGGACTGGCTTATATTAAATTTGCTTCCATTTTCCATGGATTCCATAAGATTTGTTCAGCTTGGAGAAGGTTTCTCCCAAGCCTGAGATCTCCATGATGGGAGAAAGTGGGATTTACAGGGGGGGTGAGCTGGGAAAAGCTTGTCCTGGCCTGGATCAGCTCCAGGTGCTCGTCCGTCCAACCCAAGCACGACTTGGGGCAAAGCTCTTGATCATTAAGATGAATTTTATATATTTTGATGGATTTTCCCTTTGGAATTGGGGGAATGGAAGCAGGATGGCTCCATCCAGAGAACATGGACCACAAAGTGGGGCTGCATCATCCTTGGGGAAAAGCAGACTGGAATGGGGTCTCTGCACAGTTTGGTGGCACCACAATGAGCAGTTTAGGGATGTATCAGTGCCAATATCCCAGGATTTCCTAATCAATAATTCCACCTTTCTGGTCCAGCAGCTCCTTCTGGACTGGGAAATACAGGAGAGAGAGAAAACCCTTCCTAATATATTCCTTTCTTTGGGATCACACAGTCCTTGAAGCCCCGATGAGGAAAAAAATGACTGGGAAAGGTGGAATTTGGTTTCATATGTTCAGACAGTTATAAAAGAAACATGAATAATAAATATAAATGATTTATAAATTATAAAAATATATTAAATATAAATAATAAATATAAACTATACATAAATTATATAAAAATATGTGAAATTAAAATATAAATGCATATAAATGATAAATATAAAAGGCTTAATGCCAGGCTAATTTTTCTCCATCGTTATAGAGCTGGATGTGCCTGGAATTCAATGGGATTCATCCCGCACAAGCCTGGGCTCATTAACTTAATTAAGGCCCAGGTAATGACTTAGGGACCTTTTTGGAGGGACAACAGCTCAGAGGGGGGAAACAGGGCAGGACTGGCCTGGATTTGGCTGGAAAAAGGAATAAAATAGATTTAATTTTATTTCTTCACACATTTTTTAATTATATTTCATATTATGACGTGGTTTGTACAGGAGAAACCCCTGGTGGCTTTAGCAGGGCAAGGGCACAGCTGGCCCAGATGTTGCCGAACTGCTCCGGGTTGGGGGTGGGGTCATCCAGATGTGTCCGGCGTAGGAGTGGACACTCATCCAGATGTGGCACGGGAGGTGAGAGGGGCGCCCAGATGTGGTGGGGATGGTGAGGGGGGCACCTGGTTGTAGTTGGGGTCATCCAGATGTGCCCGGGGGGGGATCAAATGCACACCCAGATGTGATAAAGGAGGTGGGAGGGGCACCCAGCTGTGGTCGGGGGGCGGCTCCTGGTTGTGGGTGGGGTCGTCCAGATGTGTCCGGGATAGGAGTGGACATTTGCCCAGACGTGGCACGGGAGGTGGGAGGGGCACCCAGATGTGTTTGGAATGGCGAGGGAGGCACCTGATTGCAGGGGGGTTTCATCCAGACGTGCCCGGGGTGGGATCAAACGCACACCCGGATGTGATGCGGATGCAAGACGAGTGCCCAGATGTGTTTGGGATGGTGAGGGGGGCACCTGGTTGTGGGGGGGGGTCATCCAGATGTGTCCGGGATGGGAGCGAACCCGTTCCCAGCTGTTACTCAGGGGGCAGAAGCGGAGCCCAGATCCAGACGTGGCCGAGACGGGGGGGGTGCTCCCTGTTGGAATTGGGCTCATCCAGATGTGGCCGGGGGGGTTGGGCTCGGACGCCCCCCCAGATGTGCCGCGGGGGCGGGGCCGCTCCCATCTGTGCCCGCCCGTGGGCGTGGCCTCAAGCCCCGCCTCCGGTGACGTCACCAGCGTTCTAATTCCCCCCGTTGCCGGGGGCAACGGCCCCTCCGGTCCTGCCCCCGCCGCGCTCC